TTCCTATGATTGCCATGTTTCAACAGTAGGGACAACACAAGAAACGAAACCAGCCAGGAACTGAAAGTGCTCCACGCTGCTTGTAGTCATAGTGCAGCAAAGTGAGTTGAAGCAGAGGAAGAGACAAACGGTAGATACATGAGGGGGGGGTACCATATATATATATATATATATATATAGATATATAGATATAGATATACATACACAGAAAATAACAACACACTACAGGCCCCAGTTTTTGGTGGATTGCTTGAAGACCATTACAAAAACACGTGTTTGACTCGAAAAACACGGGCCTGCATTCCGTTACACACACACACACTCTCTCTATATATATATATATATATACACATACATAATTTTAATACAGATTCTTTATACGTATATGTGCATGCGTTTATACATGCCAACACATGTACAGCGAGAGGGAGACAGAGTGAGAGAGACTAACGCAGCAGCATGCATACAGCAGGCTACTCAGGCTACCAGTAGCACTTCCTAGCCTGGTGCAAGGATGCTGGGGCCGCAGCGAGCTGATAGGGATGCAGTGGTGGCTGCTGAAGATGGCCTGGCTGATGGTGTCCTGGCCTGCACTCACAAAACTCAACGATGTAATATATAGTACAGCGTTTGCTCGCGCCAAGTAACATGTCAGTGCTGTATGCTGCTACCCAAAACGCTGCAGAACAAATGCGGTGTAATATGCTGCACCTGCACCATATTATGTGGGTTGTATAGGTAGGTACAGACGTGTGGACACCAACTGGTTGATCTTCCACCAGCACAACGGATGCGGAAAGAGTATATGTGCGTCCTTGAATGCGTCGACACTTATGTACGAACAAGTAGATCACTGTCACTACAGCTGTAGTAGACCCGCGAAAAGACACAGACACACAGCCAGACGTGACAAACACCCATGCTGGCATGAGTCCACTATAATACAGGCATGCCACATGCCCGTTCATGCAGAGGATTTGCTTGCGCACAGAAGCAGACTTGCATGGCGGTGTCACAACAAGAAGTGCTGGGAGCCGGACATCGCCAGCAAGGGCATGGTGAGTGGCAGCGGGTGTGGTTGGCCCTTGGTCGCCCCAACTGTATCGCTACAGATGCTCGTCCGGCCACTATAAAGCCTTGAGACCCTAAGCCGTCTCTGAACCCCGTCCGACCCGTCAGAAAGGTAAACGACACTACTACTTACTTCAGTACTCACTTAGCGGCGATCCAGATTATTTCCAGATCTCAGCCCTCCGCGAGCCGGCTTCAACGGCACGGGTCTGTATCGCACCTTGGCAGGCTATCGAAACTTCGATTCACCTTCCGCACTGGCATTCTGCCACCACCCAGCGCCGGGCAAAGATCGCGTCGGAAGACGAATCGGAAGACCTGCACATCGGCTGCTCGGAAATTCTGCCCCTCCCGAAACCTTCCACATCAAATCACTGTCTTTGGAGATGCACCTCCCCTTCTGAGATACAAACCACCGAAATAAACGAATCTGAGATTCCATAAACCCCCGCAAACCCACGTTGCCCAGGCACCGGCTGGGCGAGCGTGGCGGCGGCGGCGGCGGAGGCACCGAGTGCCGGAGTTCCGTGCGGTGGCTAACCCAGTCGTGACCGCACCTTTCGGGGCCCATCGAATGACATGCTGCGGCTTTACCTTTGAGCATCGCGTGCTGCTCAATTCAACAACCCTGATGCGGTGGACGTCGCACGTTGTGTCACACCGTGCTTGCGCTACGCCGTCTTTTTGCACAGCATTACGCTACCGAGTGTTGCACGATGTTGTAATGATTTCTGGCAGGTTGTGTCGGGGAAGACATAACTGTGTTGCCTGCAATCTACTGTTGCAACATGTTGCGAAATCGGATTACCGACCCCAAGCCTTTCGCTCTCCAAGGCACACGCGGCAGGTGCCGGGGTCGTGGAAAGTTTGGCAGGGGCAGCCGTCCACTTTGCAGGCGAAGAAGCCCGTGGGGCTGTGCTCCAGATTGCTGTGTCCACCTCTGGCCGACGAGATTTTGGAGTGCGGCGAAATTGTCAGAACCATTGCCAAAGACTCGCTGCAGCTGGGGGGCAGTTGCAGCGCGAATGGGGCTGCACGTATGTAAACTTGGCACAGGGGCAGCGCTGACCTTATGAACACACAGAGGCGGTTGCGAAGCCCCGGTATCCCCAAACAAGACACCGCAATCACAGCTCTTCTTGCTCCCTCCGGTTTCATGTACACAAGCAAGTGCAGAACGAGAGCACTGATTTTCTTTGGGCTCTAGAGTCTAGAGGATTGGGCTTGGCCTCGGGCCCGAATCCCTCTCCTTGCAGCCCGCCACACCCCGCCTCCCTCGCCGAGACTCGACACGGCGCGCCGAAATGGACTCACCCTAGGGCCCTAGGGTCGCCGGGGGGGCGGGGGCTCTTTGACCAACACGACTGCACCGGCCCTGAAGGACAGGCGACGGGTGCAAGAATGCCCGCAGTCGAGGGCCGGTGTGCAAAGCAAATGTAGCAAGAATAACGAATCGACTTCACTCCAGCGCTGTGCTTGCAGGGCCCATCTGTACTTCTACTGCCCTTTTGCTCCAAGTGCGAGGATGAGAAAGCAGCTCATCGTCTCCCACCTCACGGATTAGTCTCCCTCTCCGTGACCCATCTGACCCATCTCCCCCTTCGCCCTGCTAGCGGCTTTTGCTATGCTGCTTGCGGCAGTAGGGGCACTTCTCCCAACCATCTGCCGAAGGAGTCGCAGCATGCCGATGATCAGAAAGTGGATGTCCACAGAAGCAGACCTTAGCCCGCCAAGTCCATGAACCCTGAGCCCAACAAATTGCTCCACGGTCCCATTTGGTTCTCTTCGGCCGAGGTGCTGTTTGCGGATTCGGTTGGATGCATGGCTGCAAGCGATCTTTCTTGGCACCTCGGGCGATAAGGAAAATCCGCAGAAGCCCGATTTCGGACTAATCATCATGTAAGCAGTCAGCACGAAACATGATGGTGCCTTGCGGGGCACATCACTGGTCCAAACTGTAATTAGTGCTTAACATACCCGCATACGAGACCAAAAATATACTTACTACTACGATACTAAGTTATTACATATCACTATCATACACTCACACATACCTGCGGAGAGAAAGAGCAACATGGGCGGGGAAGGATGCAGCCGTGGGCATCAGAAGGCACCACACGCCGACTACACTCAAAACACGAGAAAGAAAAACGGAGAGAGACTGACAGTACCTAGACCCTCCATCTACCCTCTATTGGACCCTAAATACCCTTAATTTGGGACCATATACCCCTATTTGTCGACCTGTCTCAAGCCAAGGGAGGCTTCCCGGGATGCGCACCCGGCGAGTAGCCACCGAGGCAGTCGACTTCGCAAACATGGCAGGCCCAAACCACGACGCGCGGTGGCTGCTGCGGCTTCACCGGCACCACTCCTTTGGGCGCTCTGATCTCAGGCAGGATCTGGCTTTCAGTGAGTTGCAGAACCGACGCACAGATATGTACTACAGAATACTACAGCCTTCATGCTCCAGACACCAAGCGGAGATTACCAGCGCGCCGCAAGCTTGCTCTCTCTCTTTCTCTCTCTCTCTCTCTCTCACATAAACAGGGATGGTTGCAAGTGTTTGCTTACGGGCCTGTAAGGTCCGTATTATGGGGTGGAGGTGGTCACTCTTGTTCTGTGTGCCGGCATACGCTACAGTACAAAAGCGCAAGACACTGCCTTGCATCAGACCATATTATACCAGTAAACTGCTCGAACTGCTTACGCCTTCAACGGTCTCCCAATTCAAGCTTGTCGCAAATTACGGAGCAGAACCGAAATGGAAATCTTGTGATCAGTGAGATCATCCAGGAGGCGTTCGACGCGAACCGGACCCGGCTTGCACCACCGCGCTCTTCGGCGCTGGGCGGCAGAGAGAAGCCCGCCGAGGGAGAGGGGAGCCTCGAAGGGAGAGGGTCGAAAGGCGCCTACAGTAAAGACTCCCCGAATCGAATATGGGTAGTTGTCAAAATTATGGTCCCTTTTGGGGTACCCTAAATAATAGGTGCCGCATTATAATAAGGACCCAAAAAGGGACCCTAATTTTGACAACCACCCATATGGAGTTCTCTTCGGGTACGCTTCTCTGGGGCGGCCCCACCTTTCCCAGCTTCTCCAACAAGTAGTCTTTCGCAGAGGCAATGTCCCTGAACCGTTCTTCCGCCTGGCGCGGACTTGGGCAGAGCTTCTTGGCGGTTCTGGTTCCTGCGCCGCAAGAATCTGCACATGAGACCGAGGGAATGTCAGCTGTCACTGCATGGCCGAAGCAACAAATCGTCTGCTGATGCGGCATCGCACTGCCGGAAACAGCCTCTGCATTCTGCTCGGGGTTCTTGTCCTTACTCACTGTCCGATTCTTGTACTCCCGCCCTGAAAAAAGCTTGTCGTATCTTGTGGTAGTTACCCAAGAAGTTGAGGCGAAAACGGCTATGCTGCAAAGCAAAACCTCTTCTTGACCACCCGAGCGTCTGGGTGGCACAGGAGGGCAAGGCGTCGGTAAGCCCGTCGTACGTCGGCCGCACTGCATCCTGTCTAGAAGCAAACCCGCCCCAACAGCAGATGGCCTTTCCTCCAGACCTAGGTCATAATGCTACAGCGGTACCCGTGGTACCCTGAACCTCCAGTAAAGGCCTCCCGAACAGAAAAGCGCAGCCTTCGGAGAGTCCCAACACGACGTATGCGCCAAACTCATCCATGGGCTTGCAAGCCATGGCAAGGTTTTCCAGGGCTTTGCCGGACTAAGGTAACTGTATGTTGAAAGCTTGTGGGGGATATGAGTTTTCAGTCCACTGTATGCACACGAAGTCATTGCGCCAATGTGGAGTTGTTCGCCGGATTGGAACCTGTCCTCCAAAACTTAAACACTGGAGCCGAAGATGCGGAGTCGACGAGAATGGGCCGTCACACTGGGAAAGGTTGGGCTTGTCGTCATCTTGATTGCTTTCGCCACCTTTTTTTCTGTCTCCTTTTCTCGGATCCTGCCCCAGCACAACGATCGCGTTGCGAAGCACCAAGCTGCTTGCTCATGCGCATTCATGAGTTACTTCTCGCGCTTCTTGCCAAGCTTCATGTCAACGTAACTGAGGGGGCAGAATTCATCCCTCATCTCTGTGAAAGTTAAAAGGATACGCATGAGCCCCGCGTGTCCTTGCTCTTATGTTGTTGCAGTTTCCTTCCGGCTGCGAAGGGTAGGGTGGGGCTGCAATCGGACCGTGATAGGTATTGATAGGTAACGTCAGGTGGGAATGCATTGTTTGCATGACGGCACGGTCCCAGCATGCAACTATGGTGACAAGACGCTCGATCAGTGAAAGCGAATGCAAGGATGGGCATCTAGCACCCTTAAAGATCCACAAATCATCGCGCCTTGCCATGCTGGAAGTGGGGGCCGCGCGTTTGGATTGGTGATGGGTGGCACGCGGCTGTGGAACCATCATTATACAACAAAGCATGCCAAAGGCCTTCACAACTTTCTCGCTAGGCGCAGTCCATCGGAAGGCCTGCTGGATTGCTACCTGTGTAGCTTGAAGTGACTGCGAGGCAGTCGCGATCATGTCCAACTTGGACCCTTCGGCCACTCTGCAAGCAAGAGGGTCACGTTCACTGGCACGAGCCTTCTTCTCTTTCTTTGAAGGTCTTATATTTGACAGCAGAATCCACGCCAGCGAGCCAAAATCGAACCTAGGTGCATCATGCGCCATGATGGGGGCAGTGGGAACGGGACGACTGGCATCGCCAAGGCCCTGTGGCCTTTCTTGTGTGTGGGCGTGGCCGCCAGCGCTGGTCGTCAGCACTCATATTGCGATGTTCTTCCGACAGCTCTGCGAAGATGCTAAGCACTGACTCCAGGCAGAAGGTAGCTGATGAAGGCCCAAGTGCCACCGCCATCCCCTGCTCTCTTCTTTTTCTGACTGAAGGGCTCGAGGAGACACTCGAAGAGGAGGAAGTCGACGAGGACCTGGCGACAGGAGGGCCCGGGGTTCGCTAGGAAGGGAAGGCGCAAGGGCTTTGGCCGCCCTACAAAACCGCTCATCTTGCAACCTACCGAAACCGGAAAAGAAAACACACACCCTAAACCCGGCTTGTCGGTGCGCTTGAAGATGTCGAAGGCGAAGGTCGCGATGAGCACCTGGCAACAAGAGGGGGGTCCGGGGATCCCGGGGGAGCGCACACTCTAGCTTACAGGGGAGGGTCTCGAGAGAGCGTACGCGCTTGAAAGCAATGTATCTTTTTGGCAAGGTCCCGGTAGCTGTCGGGCATGCGAAGTCGAGCGACTCTTAAAACACGGAACATGGAGGGTCCATGTCAATGCGAAGTCGAGCGACTCTTAAAACACGGAACATGGAGGGTCCATGTCAAAGCCGTGAAAGTTGCCCATCACCTAGACCACAGCGCAGTCCAAGAGCGGGCGACCGAACGTTGTCCAATCAGAGCGTGGACCGTTGAAAGTACGCCTGGGCTCTTGTCAACGAACCCAAGTGAAGGTAGATTCCAGGGCATGAAGGAATGAATGCATGCATGCATGCATGCGTGTATATAAGCATGTACGCACGTACGTACATACGTACGTCTGTATGTGTGTATGTATGTATGCGTGTATTAATGTATTACATCCATCCATCCATCCATCCATCCATCCATCCATCCATCCATGCGTACACACATACATACATACATACAAACACACTGATATACATATACACGCACTTATACATATACGTATTCGTATATACATGCACATACACATATGCATATGCACATAAACATATACTTCTATATTACATGCATATACACCTACATATCGTAC